TAGCTTTTTTCTGTAACGCAGTAATGAGGCATTACAGGGAAAGAAATTTTAATATATTACTTGGCACGAATGTCAGTAACGCTTGTTACAATTTTTAACCTGGGTTGAAGTGGTGGGATTTTCTTCATACAAATTTGCTAAAATTTAAATTTAGTTAAAATGCCGGAGACACACCTGTGTAGACGGTCAGGTGACCATGAGCGAAAGGACCGACGCAGAACTCCAGCTGCAGCTGACGCCTGATCACACCTTGCAGACATTCTGTTCCAAGGACTCGGGGTTCTCTCAGGAGCGGTCCTAGATTCTAAGTTCTAGTCTAAGATTAGTCCTGGTTTGGTGCTGGTTTAAGACCTGGTTTACACCTGGGTCAGTTCTGGTTTAGACCTGATTTAGTCCTGGTTCAGTCTTGGTTTAGACCTAGTTTAGACCTTGTTTAGTCTTGGTTTAGTTCTCGGTTCAGTCCTGGTTTAGACCTAGTTTAGTCCTGGTTCAGTCCATACATGGCGCAAAAGTTCAGCATCTTCACAGATATTTTGGTGAGAGTAACTTAAAAGTGCTGCAATAGTCGTGTAATGTTTTACATTTTAAATACAGTAATATTGTAATGTAACTAATTACTTTGAAATGACAATAACAAGTCATAAATAACACATTACAGTTTTAAAGTCATTTGTCCAACAGTGGACATGGTCCAAATCTTCACCAGACTCACTTAAATGAGGCACAATTGTTGCTTATGTTGAAGGTGCTTTGTGTTCCACAGTGGGACTTTCACTACCGAGGACCACGACACAACAATAGAATATGATAAGATATTTAATGACGGTGGATAGATATGATGTCTGGGGAGAGACTCAGAGTGGAGGGGTCTTCAATCCAAAATAGAGCCCTGCAGTCCCGCGGGCCTCCTGCGGGACCCGACACAGAACAGTGCGGCGCGAGGACACATTTTGAGATCTTATTGTGGGCGTGGGCGGGTGTGGGACTGCACAATGCGGGAGCGGGCTGGTGGGAGGATAAACTGCAGTTCTGCAAACTAAATATGAGTGTAAAGTAAAATATACAAATGATTCATGTGTGCCTATCTTACAGAATCTGTGCTGGATATTATATTGGGCATTAATAAAAACATTTTAAGCAGCCTAAATCTGCTGTGGCCTAATCTCATGCACATTTTGCGGGCAGGAGCAGGACTGAAAATTCTGTCCCGCACAGACCTCTAGATGATGTCTTCAGACAGAAGGATGGACAACAGACAGAAGGATGGACGATAGACACGGAGTGGGAAGAGGGGGCCGAGCTGTGATGTCGGGATAGGCCGTATAAATAGGGCTCCTGGGTAATTCAAGGCATGGTTGAGATAAGCAGTGGTTTTCTGGAGATGAGGTTGAGGTGGTCCAGCTCGTGAATCTCAGTTCATCATATTATCAACATTTACACAGCTCTACTTTACATTTATTCAATTCTAGTGGTTTATGGTTTTCTGACTGTGAGCAGAGCCATCTCTCCACAGATCTGACCTGGAACTTGGTCAGGTCTCCATGAACATAGAAATGTTAAGTCCCATACTGTGAAACATTCTAGACAAATCAATAACATCTTCAAGGACAACAGCATTCGATGGACCCACTGTAGCATCCCGGTTGAAATGACGGTCTCATAGACTGATGGTTCACAACTTTTATTTTTGGGCCTTGTTTGTGAACACACCGTAAGAGCTACAAAAAAAGGGAAATAAAAACAATTAGCTCTTACAGTGTACCTTTTACTCCTTTTAACCATTTATGACAACCTGACAATTACTGTTTACCAACAACAAATCTTATAAAACCTGAACCTTGCTATTAATCTATATTGAACAAAAAAATACACATTAAAATTGTCAAACTGCGCGTAACATTGCTTAGGCGAAGTGCACTGGCGCCATCTAGTGGATTAAATTATAACAGAGAATTGTAACGGCTCAACGTATTCCTTACTAACCTTGTTCCCACATCAACCAGGTGCTAAGCTTGGGTAGACCATATATTAACTTAAAATACAGTTTCAGTAACTTTTAGATTAAATAAACAAAATTTTCCGTTCTGCTCATAGTCAGTTAGCCGCACAGACTGTTAGCCGGGAGGTAAACATCCGCTCTCACGTGGCCGCTTCCGGTTGTACAGCGGCCTTTCAAAATAAAAGCATGGAACAAACGTATTACAATACTTACAAACAAAAGTAGCAGAAGTACAGAAAATACATGAGATCATTTACACCCACCATCAGAAAATTTAAGGCCAATTTACGATCCAGCGTCAAATCGCAGAGCCTCTGTGTTGACCAACGAGCACCTCCGAAATTTTCTAACTACGCGTCCAAACGACGCAGACAGCAGGGGAAGCAATGCAGACAGTAAGGGCTGTGATTGGTCGTCTCTACCACCGCTCCACATATATTTCCTGCACTCGGCTTTCCTTTCTTTCAATATACATTGAGAAATAATGTGTTTAATGCAGCTTTGTGCATATTTGTTTATGTTTTACAGAATGAAACTTAAAATTGCATGGCAAATTTGCATAAATTAAGCACTCAAAAAACAGCTTGCCCCTGGTGCGCTGATGGTGAGTCTGTTCTGTGCTTGTCACATTGGAGATGATTCATGTTAATCTTTTCAGAGATTATACGTCTGCAGGTCACACACAGACTCTATATGTGAATGGACAGATATTCTCGTCCCCTAGCGTTTTGTGGTGAATTACTTCACGATGCACAGACCTCAACGCAGATCCATAAATCAAAAACAGCAGTGACAAGGCGAAGGCAATGCACGTTGAACTATACTTCACCCTTTACACAATGCATCTTTAAGTTTTACAATCATTTATAATCAAATATTTTTTATGCTGTATCTTATAAAGACGCTTGATGAGTGTTTATAGTAAAGATCCAGGTCAGCTTTATCTCATCATCACTGGTAGTACAAAATATCAAATGTATCTTGCTTCAAAACTCTCCAAATCCAAATAAATGCACATTTCATTTCAGCAGCATTTTATCTTTCATGTATAAATGCTTAACTGACCTTACTAAAGACTAAATGATTACATTTCTTTATAAGCATATGAACCCAGGATATGACCCATTGACAGAAATTTGGAGGTCTGGGGCAAGAGGTCTAACATGTAGGGATGTCACATTTTTTTGTCTGAGTCATTTGATTTTGAGTATCAGCTGATACCGAGTCCCGATCCGATACTTTTATAAAACATTATAAAATGAACTAAGAGCAAAGAATAAGATCCAGGATGTTTGGAGGGATCAGATTGTGTTGATTTCAATGTGTAGTGTTTGAACTGAACTTGTAAAACATCAAATGTCCAAAACTTACATTTTATTAACTTTTCTAAACATGAACCATCATTGTTGAAAATCTTGACTTTTCACAATCTGGTCTTGGAAATTTAACTTAATGAACTGGACAAAACAGGAACCAGACTAGAATCAGATCAGACCTGAGACTCGACTCTGCACAATCTACACTTTGTATATTTGATATTAAATGGAAGCCTGTGCATTATATTTGAAACATTTAGGCTCGTCTATGATCCAAATAATACAAAATCTTATCAAATAAAAACAAAATGGCAGAAGCTCTACAGCCTCTCTCCCCCGCTGCCCCACCTTCCCCGCACCGCCACCACATCTACAAACCCACAGCAGAGTGTGCGCTGCAACATCGGCAGTGTTGGGAAGGTGACTTTTAAAATGTATTCCCCTACAGATTACAGATTACATACCCCAAAATGTAGTTTGTAACATAATCCATTAACTATTTAAGGTGAGTAACGTAATCTGAATACTTTGGATTACTTGATTTGCTGTAGAGAAGCAAAGACGAGGAAATCTTCACATAAGATGTTTTGTCTGATAAAAGAAAATAAAAAGCCCAAACTTTATTTAATCGTATTAAAAATATTATTGATAGAAGACAAGGAGACATGGTCCAAAGAGCATGGTTTAGTCCTGTTAAATCCTGTTTTAGTCCTGGTTTAGTCCTGGTTTTAGTCCTGGTTTAGTCCTGGTTTAGTCCTGATTTAGACCTGGTTTTAGTCCTGGTTTAGCCCTGGTTTAGACCTGGTTTAGACCTGGTTTAGACCTGGTTTTAGCCCTGGTTTCAGTCCTGGTTCAATCCTGATTTAATCCTGGTTTAGTCCTGGTTTAGCCCAAAATGTAAAAACAGGAAAATACCACCATGTAATCCATTTATTTCAGCAAAGTAACTGTAATCCAATTACCACTCACTGAAACAGTAACTGTAACTGAATACAGTTACTCATAATTTGTACTCTGATTATGTAACTCCAGTACATGTAATCTGTTACTCCCCAACACTGAACATCGGTCCCACCGCTCATTAGACACTCCACGCCGCTGGACCCTCCCTCTCTGCCAAAAGCCCAGCTCCGCGGCTCAACATGCAAACAAACAGCACCGTGTGACAACTCCCTCGGCCGCGCAGGTGTGACACGAGCCACAGAACCCCAGGTACCAGCGCCCGAGCACGGCACGACCCAAAAGTCCCAGCGTAAGTGCGCCCGCTCGTACAGCAGACAGTCGTGCTGACTGGGCGGCCCTGAGCAAATCCTGCACCTCAGTTAAAAAAAAACAAAGAAAACAAAACAAAAGTGTTGTGTCCTGTGTGTTATATATGTATATTATTTATCCGATTCCTGATCGAAACATAACATCCGAGTCCAGATCGAGTCCACAATCACGTGATCGGATCAGGACAACCCTAACATGGGCCTCCCTCTAAAATAAATGAGTAGGAAGAGGGTTGACATCTGGGCTCCTAAATCCCTGGGGCCTGGGAGAGCAGACCCCTTTGTCCCCCGTCTACTGCCTTGCTTTGTAATATTCTGAGGTTAAACTTAAAAGTTAAAGTGTCTGATCATGAGTTCTCTGCATTGTGTCTCAAATGTTTTCAGTAAAATTACAAACAAAATTACTACAAAATGTTCACAAATAATCATCAAATTTATTTCCAGAAATGCAATATGAAAAGTCCCATGCAAACATTGACAGCCCATACTTTGAAAACCACAATGAGCTGTGTGCAGTGCTTACATGACGCAATACAATACAAGTTTATCCTCATGACATCATCAACATGAGTCTGTTTTACAGTGCAGTCCACTTCAAAATGAAAAACTACAAAAACAGCTTTCCAGATTGTCTCAGCAGTCAAACAACAGACTGTAATATTTGTGTTTACAACTTCTAGAAATACATTTTGAGGTGTCAGCAAGTTATAAGGTAGAGTAAATAGTACTTACACTGTAAAAAAAAAAGAAATGCTTACATGAGTTCAAATGACTTCAGTTCAGAAAGTGTATTTGAGGAGTGTGGACCAGTTTAGATTTAGGTACTTATAATGTTTGGTGACGGAAAGAGTCAAAAATGTTAGTTACATATAATGTACAGTGACAAAAAAAAGAGTCAGAAAATTTAGATTTAGTTACGTATAATGTACGGTGACGAAAAAGAGTCAAAAATTTTAGTTACGTATAATTTACAGCAACGAAAAAGAGTCAAAAAAGGTTTGTTTTGTATAATGTACGGTGATGAGAAAGAGTCAAAAATTTTAGTTACGTACAATGTACAGCCAAAAAGGAGTCAAAAATTTTAGTTACGTATAATGTAGGGCGACGGAAGAGAGTCAAAAAATTTGTTAATAATTCTTAATGTTTTTTTCTGAGTTCACTGGCTTGAGAATAGGTTTATCAAAATGTAATAATTTTATAGAAATTTTTAACCGTGGAAGGATTAAAGTAAGATTTTTAGAAACAATTTTAGTTATATTAAATGTAACCTAGAAAAAAAAATTATAATAGTAATAAATAAAAATTGTAAAAATTTAAATAAAAACTAAATTTTTAAAAATCATACGTAAAATTTTAAAAACACATAATATATTTAAATGAAAAATGTAGTAGTTGAAGTAGCAACATTTGATACGTATTTTTGGTAGAAGTAAGCTACATACAGTGTTTTTTTGTTTTTTTTTCTTGTTTTTTTTTTTGTGACAATACCCGTGCTGTACGTAAATAGTATATTCATAGTATATATAAACAACTAACAACCAAATACATATAAACCAACCCGAACTCCAAACTGCTCAAATCACACTTCTGATCTTACCTAACTCATGTACATACTTTTTTTTTTTTTTTTTTTTTTACAGTGTAAACGTGCTCACAGTTCAGAGAAATTTTACATATTTTCAACTTCAAATAACAAATTATCCAAAAGTTCCAAAGGCAGCAAGGACTCAACAAGCTTCTAGCCCTTGAGAGCGACCAGTTATGATCTGAGATGTTCCACAGACTTCATGCATAGAAGAACTGTCAACCACGGCACAGAACGGGCATGCCCACAAAAGTGCACCATTTGAAAAAGTCCAAAAAAAAAAAAAAAAAAAAAATTAAAGAAAAAAAATCTTAAGTTCCATTCAATAAAAAGACAAAGGCATTACAACATAAAGTGGTAGTAAGAATAATAATAATAATAGTAATAGTCATAATAAATAATGCTAAGTGATCCATCGCATTTGCATTGAGATAGAAGTCATTGCACAACCAAAAAATGAAATTCAAAATTGTTTCTTTACACAGTTCAAGAAGTTACTGTTCAAATTTTCACGCAGATTTCACAAATATATTTCAAGCCCGTGAAATTTGGCATAATTTTGATATGAGAAATTCTTTATATCTTACAAACTTCATATTTTTAACTCAAAAAATTCTCCAAATTGTCACATTGAAGAAAATTGTGGTCTTTCAACTTCATTATCTTTATTAAGTTAATCAAAAAAACTTCATATATGATCAAATTTGGGCTTTCATTCTTAGTGGCAAGAGTTGCAGCAGCAGCAAGTCCCTCTGATCAGAAGGTAACCAGTTCCAATTACGCCACATTGTTAACTAAACGACTCGTCTGTTACAAATCAAAATGAAACAGTAACTTTTTCCTCACAGTTTCATTCTCCAAAATCTGGAAAGTTTCTTAAATAATTCCCCACCGTGACCCGAGTCTTCTCCTGTCATTAGTAACCATAGCTACAAAAAGAAGAGTCTCCAGCTAATCGTTCACTCCAGTGCAACTTGTAGCCCTTTTTTAAGACTTCCAAACATCCTGCGAAAAGTCCCTAAAGTCCGTCAGGCGAGGTATACGGACGGACGGGGCGCTTGTTCGCATCCCCGCCGTCGTCAGCTTATCAAACACTATGTACAGTCAGCCGTTTTGTGTCGTCGTGGAGACCGTGGGAAGGCGTCGCTAAGACACTTGAAGAAGGCCGGGTCGGAGCGGATTTGGCGTCCCGTGCGGGCGAGGGGGGGCGTGGTGTGTTGGCACTTGCGGGCGGGGCTTTTAGGAGATGGGCGACAGGGACACGGGACACTGGTTGTTGTTGTTGTTCATGATGTCGTCCAGGTCCTCGTCCTCCAGGTCCACTGTGGAGGGAGAAGGAAAATATACAGTCACATATAGGTCAAAATAGTTCCATAACACACTCGCACGATAAAACATGCATTCAAGCTTATTGTATTATTTCCAGTGTTGGAAAGGTTACTTTTAAAATGTATTCCCCGTATGGGGATTACAGATTACATACCCCAAAATGTAGTTTGTAACGTAATCCATGAAGTTATTTAAAGTGAGTAATGTCATCTGAATACTTTGGATTACTTGATTTGCTGTAGAGAAGCAAAGATTAGGATGGTTTAGACCTGGTTTAGACCTGGTTTAGACCTGGTTTAGACCTGGTTTAGACCTGGTTTGGTCCTGGTTTATATCTAGTTTAGTCCTGGTTTATATCTAGTTTAGACCTGGTTTATATCTAGTTTAGTCCTGGTTTATATCTAGTTTAGACCTGGTTTTAGTCCTGGTTTAGTCCTGGTTTTAGTCCTGGTTTAGACCTGGTTTTATCCTGGTTTAGACCTGGTTTAGCCTGGTTTTAGTCCTGGTTTAGTCCTGGTTTTAGTCCTGGTTTAGTCCTGGTTTAGTCCTGGTTTAGACCTGGTTTAGACCTGGTTTAGATCTAGTTTAGACCTGGTTTATATCTAGTTTAGTCCTGGTTTATATCTAGTTTAGACCTGGTTTTAGTCCTGGTTTAGTCCTGGTTTAGTCCTGGTTTAGACCTGGTTTTAGTCCTGGTTTAGACCTGGTTTAGGCCTGGTTTTAGTCCTGGTTTAGTCCTGGTTTTAGTCCTGGTTTTAGTCCTGGTTTAGTCCTGGTTTAGTCCTGGTTTAGACCTGGTTTAGATCTAGTTTAGACCTGGTTTAGATCTAGTTTAGTCCTGGTTAATATCTAGTTTAGATCTTGTTTATATCTAGTTTAGTGTCCGGCAATGAGTGGAATTAACGAAAGGAAAAAAAAAAAAAAAAAAGGGGGATATAGCCCAAAATGTGGAAACAGGAAAACAGGAAAATACCTCTGTGTAATCCATTTATTTCAACAAAGTAACTGTAATCCAATTACCACTTACTGAAACAGTAACTGTAACTGAATACAGTTACTCATAATTTGTACTCTGATTACGTAACTCCAGTACATGTAATCTGTTACTCCCCAACCCTGATTATTTCACACATGTAAATATTAATGGCGAGCGAGCAAATTATCTCTGTGCGCGAGGAGAAATCTGACCTGTGCACAAAACAACCACTGGGGGGCAGAAGCACCCTCGAAAAAACAAACGAGCTCTCTCCAAGTTGATTTCTGCTCACACAAGTTTCATTTCTGCTCTCTTGAAGTTGTTTTCTGTTCGCTCGTGTGCAAGGTGGATTTCATTCGTTTTTCAAAATAAGACCACGATATAAAAGAATGAGAACTTTGCACATGAATTACTTGAGACGGGTGCGTTGGAGGAGAGGGACCAGCCCAAGAACATAGAGAAAAATCATGCACTCCATCTTTCTTGCAAATTGTGAGATTTATTGGGACAAAATGTTTCAGCACTAGGCCTTAAATAAGACCAAAAATAAGAACCCCAAAATACTTTTATTTTCTTCATTATCTGTCTCCAAACCCAAAATGGAAAAAAAAAAAAAAAAAAAAAAAGATAACAATAAAATTTTTAGTTTTTGATTTTGTGTTTAAATGAATAATGGAAAAAAACAAACAAACAAAAAAAAAAAAAACAAAAAAACAAAAAACAAAAAAAAAAACGTCCGTTTCCCGTTTCTATGACTTAAACTGTGATGCTGAACTGGACTAAAACTTAAAACCAACAAATAATAACAATAAAGAACTTGAATTCTATAGAAAAAACTTTGAATATTAATACGATATCTGCAAATTAATATATACTGACATATTTAAAAGTGTTTTTTGAAGAACTCAGATGCATTTTTATGTCAATTATAACTTTTGAATGTTAAAAATTACTTAGTTGTTTAAACATATATTTTACAGAAAGTAGTTATTATATTAGTTAGCTCATCAAAGTGATGTATAATGATTTGGAATCTTCTGTGAAGCATCCCTCGGTCGTCCAGGTAGAGTCCATGGCGAGGAGAAAATTCAGTTTGTCGACTGGACCAAAGTTAGTTTCATTTCGCAGCTCATCCAAGCTGCTGAAGAACTACTTGGATGAGCTGTGAAACATCTTCAAACATACTAACTTTGGTCCAGTCGACAAACAGAATTTTCTCCTCGCTGTGATTTGGAATCTTGTTAAAATAGACAGGGCTGATCAATTGAGCAGTTAAATAGATGATATGAGAAGATTTGTTAAATGGTTTCTGTAATCAAGAATTTCACTTAAAATGACATGTGGATAATATAAACATAGGAAACTAAAAACCATAACAATGTAAAATACAATATAAAAAGTGACAAGATTGCTATGTATATGCAATTTTAACAATACGCTACATTTACAGAAAATACCAAGTCGTTCTCCATCAAACTATCCCTTAAAATACCTTAAAAGAAAGTGAATGTGTAGCAATATATAATAAAAGTAAATGACATGAGAAATAATGATCAGATAAACTATAGATGGGGTCACTTTACTATAGCGGCATGTTGACCCCGGGGTCAGTATACTATGGGGATCAAAATTAGGGATGGGCATGATTAATTGATTAATCGATAACTGATCATTAAGAATTTCATTGAAACATTCGGTCAGTCTGCAAACAAACCGAAGCGCAAATGCGTATTTAATGATGATTTGTACAGAAGTGCTTCCACGTTGCGTTCGAAGGCGACAATTGTGAGTTCATGTGGACAAGCGTATAATGTGAAAGAAACATATGTTTCACAGTGTGTAGCCACAAGGGAACATATGTTTCGGTGTCCCAGGTGGGAAAGTTAAGCTGTTTTTACCAGGTGAGAGTCGTGCAATGTGGATGACGAGTCCCCCCCTCCCCCCGTACGGTGTCCTGGATTTGACAAACACAAATCTGGTCACACTAACCTGTGTTCAGCTGAGTCATGTCTTTTAATCCAACAGAAGTTGAACCACATCAGCGACACAAGAGCTGTAGTTTTATCTTTGCTTAGTTTATGCAAATTAGCGATGCGGTTTTAAGTTTTGTTTCTATGAGAGTTGCGCGAAAATGAATTAAACACATTATAATGTCAAACGGGCTGATGTGGCTCTAGAGTGGTTACGGTTTATATGTCGTAAAGTTTAATTTATTTATGCAGATTAGTGCAGATAGTAATAATAATGATGATCATTTTAATATAAAAACGTTAATGATTAATCGATAATCGATCGTTAATTCTTCCGACAATCGATTAAGAAAATTTCATCGAATGCCCATCCCTAGTCAAAATACTATCTCACACTCACTTATCCCAGGACTGATCCCACGACTAAACCAGGGCTAAAACAAGGACTGATCCCGATCCCGGAACTAAACCAGGACTAAACAACACTAAACAATACGCTCGAGTACATGTTTTATCGTGCGAGTGTATTATGGAACTATTTTGACGTCATAGAGACACGGTACTCGTTATGGAGCTTTAGGTTCAAATACAATCCATAGAACATGCACTTTGAACAGACGGTGAGCTGCTGAATGTGTGCGTGAATATGTTTAGCGAGCTGAGCAGATGCGTCCTCCGGGTTTCTGTAGTGAACAGTTTTGTTGCATTCATTAACACCTCAGCTGACGCCCACTGCACACGAGAGGACTTCACACTTTGGCTGCATTCAGACTGCAGGGCTTAATGCTCAGTTCGGATTTGTAAATTAAATCTGATTTTTTTTTGCCAGGTCATTCACATGTCTATAGAAGCCCTGAGAGGCAAGAAAGAGAAAAAAAGAGGCAAGTCATTTGGGCTCTATTTTCTAAATGTTTTCTTTTTTTTTTTTTTTTTTTTTTTTTCCACCAACTCAAAAAAAAATTCTACAAAGAAAAATAATAATGTTTTTTTCTCTTGTGTGTGTGTTTTTTTTCTTCACTGTTGATGTGGCTGATGAAAAAAAAAAAAAAAAAAAAAAAAAAAAAAAACGGCACTGAATGGTATGGTATGGTATTTACAGGAATATACTGGGAAAACACTTAGGCTCTGAGCAGTGCTTTTTTTTTTTTCTTCCCATCAGCCACATTAATGGTGGGGGGGAAAAAAAAAAAAAGAAAAAAAAAGTGTAGAAAAAAATATATTATTTATTTATTTATTGAGTTAGTGAAAAAAAAAAAAAAAAAACTCTTTGAAAATAGAGCCCAAATGACCCGCTTCTTTTTTTTCCCTCTTGCCTCTCAGGGCTTCTGTACATTTCCAATTAAATGTGACTTGTATGTGATCTGCAGTGTGAACTTTAAATGCCCCAAAAGTGTCTCAAGTGTGCTCAGTGTTTACAGAAGTCATCTAAACTCTGGGCTTGTCTCCCAAAATCTGATCCAGTTGTTCGGTAAAATGGACACGTTACACGTCCACGGCCGCTTCGTTTGTTTGAGTTTTTAGTCTCCTTGTATTTGACTCGCAGGCTTTTTATTTTTCATTGACACTGGAGCCAGGACTGTCTGTAGCTACACTCGGACATTTATTTGGCAATCATTTCAAAAAACGCCCAGTTCTGATAAGACTCCTCCGATTTGTCCTGAATACAGAGATCCCCACAAATATGAATGAACTCGCAAACCTCACTTTCCCTCCACTGACGAGACTCTAAGCCTGACGTGTAGGTGGGATGAATGCGCTTTGGCCGTTCAGACTGAAGTCGCATGTCAAAAGGATCAGATATGTATCAGTTTTAGGAGCACAAATCCAAGTGTCCTGGGTCACATTTGAAAAAAAATCAGATCTGTGTCGTTCAGACTGTCACTAAAAGATCAAATACAGGTCACATGGAGTGAAAAAAAAACCTGATTTGGGTCACTTCAGGCTGCAGTCTGAATGTAGCCTTTGCGTCACATCGGGACATTTAGTTACAGTTATTTGTCTCACAGTCACATGAAGGACAGAGACACCACACACTGGAGTTTACAGTAACGGTTTGGTGTGGACTGTGGGTCTGTTTTTCGGGGGAGAAACAAAGACACGAGGCAGTGACAGTTATCAATACTCTAATTTAGGGCAAAAAGGGGAAAAAAAGAAGAAACACGTGGATTAAATTCTGCTTGTAAAGGCCACAGCACTGTAGAGATGAAGATATATGACAAGTTTTGCACAAACTGCGTGTCATCTGTGGTACTTCTGTGTAAGAGCCATGACTGTGGGTGTCTAGCACAGACTGGATGCTGATTGGCTGTTATTAAGCTTGACCACAAGCAACAGTCATAAATATCCAACATGTTGAACTTCCCCGTCTCGCAGACACCCAAATCAGTTTAAATTGGGCCTGAGTCTCGTGTGCAGCTGTCTGAAAGCACTGACCAACATTACCATTTTGTACCAGGGTCATCCCACGTCATTTCATCAAATTTCCAGAAAATCTCACGTATCATGTTTTTTTTTTTTTTTTTTTTGAAAAAATTACCAGCTGGGCCCTTACTGTCATGTACCAACCCTATGGAATTTTAGTCATTTTCGATTAATACTTTTTAAGTTACAGCTCATTTAGTGAGGGAGTATGTTTTTTCTCTGCCGTTTTCACAGTATTACACATACAGGGCTGAAATTTTGTAGGTTTGTACAAAATTTAAAATGAAAAAAAAAAAAATTTAAGTTCATATAAAATGACAATGAGTTGAGATACCAAACGTTTGATAGATGTTATTTGAACACAGAGTAGAGGAGTACAAGATATCGACCTGTGAAAACGGCCGAGAAAAAAAAAATTACGTGCATTTTGGGCCCGTAAATTGACACATACTCCCCTCACTAAATGAGCTGTAACTTACAAAGTATTGATCGAAAATCACTAAAAGTTCACAAGGTTGGTACATGATGGTAAGGGACTATTTGGTAATTTTTTCAAAATTTTTTGAGATGGAAGTGCGTGGGCCATTTGTTGAAATGGAATGACCCACCAGTGTTTATCAACTCTGTTACAACCACAGCTCATACTCATTTCCCACGCTGCTTCACTCACCTTTCTTGGAGCGGCCGATCTGGCCCAGCTTAGGCGCTCTCTGTCCCAGCCTCTGCGGGTTGGGGCCCCCTGCGTGGCCGTCCTGGGGGTGTCCGGGGTTGTACTGTCCCCCGGGGCCCGGCTGCTGTGGGGGGCCGCCGGGGGGGATGAGCTCTGGGATGCCTGAGGAACCGTACATGTCCACCTGATTCTTCTGACTTCTGCGAGGATTCAAAGCTCAAAACAGGAACCTGTCAATGAATAAAAACATATTTTATTAAAGGTGCAATGTGCAACATTTCCTGAGGGAAGTTTGCAACCTATATTGTTGCTTGTAGATTGTAAATGACAGTATTTTGAAGTAACAGAAGCATGTAGTCAAGAAATCTGTAGGCCTAGTACAAGTTTTTGTTAATCAGAAAAAGGAGGAGCTGGAGGAAGCGTCTGGGGTGAGGGAAGTCTGGGAGTCCCTGCTTAGACTGATGCCCCCACGACCCGACCCCGGATAAGAGGAAGAAAATGGATGAATGGATGAATAATAATAAAAAATTTTTAAAAAAGTAATTCTCATACTTGAAATATTGTTTTCTTTGTTTAAATTTTGTGTGTATACTCTTTGGAAATATTTTCACTTAATTTTTTTTTTTTTTTTTTATATAATAATAAAACATAAATCTGTTATCTGGACAAACCTCCCGGTCAAAGCCTGATCTCTGGGCCTGACTAGAACTTGGATGGAGACCTCTGACAATACCACAGTGGCAAAACTAATGTTGTGTCCTTAGGCAAGACATTACGCCCACACTGCCTAGTATGAATGTTGTCTGAGTGTAAGTGGTGATGGTGGTTGGAGGGACAGTTGGCTCAGATTGGCAGCCTCACTTCAGTCTGTCTGTCCCAGGGCAGCTGTGGCTACAGTAGTATTTTACCACCATCGGGTCTGGAGTGAATGAATAATGCACCAAACTGTAAATCAGGCACGTCCAAACTATGGCCCGTGGGCCAAAGGCAGCCCTCAGACAAATGTTTCTTGGCCCTCAGGCTTCCAGGTGAATTTGTCCAAAGTACCTTGCATGAATTAAAAATTAACTGTTTACTGCAAGTTTTTTTTTTTTTTAAATCTGCATTAATATAGGTAATATTTAATATTTAGTGTGTGGTTTTAAGGATCTTAGCACGAATTAAGACTGATGGCTCATTCTAACGTGTTAAACATGTACATATTTCAATTATTCACTGTACTGAGAACCAGTCTGTGGCCCTCGATCAGCCCTCTGCTTCATCTGTGTTTAGATATATGGCCCTTGATGAAAAAGGTTTGGACACCCCTGCTGTAGAGTGTCTGGAAACAGTGCTACATGCGACTAATGCAACATTATTACCTTCTTATCTCTTATCTAGTATTTAAATTTACAAAACAGAATTGAACAAACACCAGTGAATTCCCCAAAACACCATCAATACAAGAAGCATGAAAGAAGTTTGAGTTTGGTTTAACTCAACTTATACTGTATTTCTTTGTTTAATCTGTTGAATAACTGTGACTCTGTATTTAGCCTAATGGACATAATTCAATGTGAAAGGAAAAACATCAGGCCTACAGACCAACACTATCAGATCTACTCGAGCACTTACTCAGTTGTGGTCCGCTTATGCTTGAGTAATACCTTTAGAACGATCAACAACTGACGCAAGTACAATTTTTGGATACTCTGCACTTTTCCCATTTCCCAATAAATGCCCTTCTGCTGTACGGCCGCTAGATGTCGCCACTGCACCGCGTTTCGGCCCGAGCGCCTCCTTCACTTCCGCAGTTCCAGTCAACAAAGAATGTATGGACCCACCGCGCACGACCCAACACAACGAAAACAACACGGTGTAATACGTAAACCATTCACGATATTCACTCTGAAATCAGTGTCGAATCACAGCTTCGTTCCAGGCCGTTACAACACACTTGGTTATTTGTTTACGCGCACCATTTTAGTCACAACGCAACTACTAATGCCGCATTCAACGACTTCACGTGACATTTAGTCCACGTTTTCACCGTTTACCATAAATATGACGTCAGATTTCGTGCATGGACACTTCAGATCGCGTTCTAAATTAACACGACACCACATACCGAGTTTTACGCAGCGTTTGTGTATTCATTTGACAGCAACCTCGTGCGTAATGGTCAGAAATGGATGGAAAAACACGTAAAAGAATATCGTATACCACATCTAGTCAAAATATAACATAGTAAGATGTTATAGCTTCCCATGACAACTGTTATAAACGCGGGATTACCTTTTGGAACGCAGCGAAACGCGGAGTAATCCAATCTTGTTTATACGCACGCCGCTTCTCTTCGTGCGCCAGTTGTTATTCCCCACGGAGTTTTATTCGATATCTCGCGTGTTTTCCTCCCGTGGTCGTGTGCGTGCTGGGGACTCGAGCTCGTGGGGATTTCCTCGTGTCGTGTCGTGTCGTGGAGTCCTCGGGGATCGTGGTGGTGTAACGGAGGCGAGGGCTGGTCGGATATAAGCGCTCGGTAGGTAGGTAGGTAAAGCAGCTCGCGGTGGAGGTGTGTCTAGTTACGACGTAGTGAAAGAGCGTTTACGTACGGTGGGCGGCGGCGGAGGGCGGGGGGGAGGTGATTGGCAGCGCGGGCAGCCAATCGGAGCGCGCACTGACGTACCGCGTGCACGAGCAGGTGAGTATGTAAAAGCGCTTTAGGGAATAAACAAGTCTGCCAAGGTCCAATATTACGCAGAATTGACTCATGTGAGATTTTACTCATGCTATGATTCTGTTACGTCCTCAAAAACATGCTCAGAGTTGTGTTTTGTCTCGTTCGCACATGTTTGATTTTATTATTAGCTCAAAATGCCCCGTTCCACTTTGTGATGTCATGAAGCGGTAGGCTGGTTTTCAAGTGAACAGCTCCTTTTACCCGAAGAGACTGGCCATTCCAAGGCTGATTTATTCTAGTGAAAGTGTGTGAAGTTTAAAAACGCAGTGGAGTACTCCCTGTATTACCGCATGAGTTGGAACAGTGTTTTCTTAAGTTGCCTAAATGTATGTTTTAAATGTGGTAACAGCAATAGAACATGACTTAAAGCTCACAAGAGTCCGTTTGGAGTAATGTTGAGGAGAACAACCTTTTCCTCGCGTGTTCGTTAGTTTTTGCTTAGATTAAAAATTACACTTGAAACAGAAATAAAGTCCAGATAATTGACTTATTCCAATATTAGAAAAGTCATACTTGTACAAGGAGTCTGTGCTGACATTCCTATGCAGAGACTCAATATTTACGCCTATACAATGATTTTTATACGTAAACTATAGTGGGAGGTAGGGGTGTGCAAAAAATCTAAATATCGATATATCGTATCATTTAATGTGCTGATACAGTATCGATATTGTGGGCTGCTGTATCGATATATCGTCAAGAGTATTTTAGGTATATTTTCACTAAATTAGTTTGTGTAAGAGCTACAGTTGTGTTGACATTTTCACTGTTTTGAGTAAAATGGATGTTTTTCACATTCACTTTTCACAAACTTAGTGGACTTTTAGTATTAGAGCCATCATTTAGCCTTTTTTACACTGTACCGTATCGAATCGATGTGAAATATATTGTATCGAATCGTACTGAATCGAAAGCTCACTGTATAGAAAAGCGTATCGTATCGTGGCCTATGTATCGAGATATGTATCGTATCGGTAACTTCTTAAAGATACCCAGCCCTAGTGGGAGGCGAGCATGGTTTAGACTTAGTGCCTCTTCGTTGGTGCACAGGTCAGTCAGGCCTCTTGGCACGTTGTACAATCTTATCTGATTGTGACAAGGATCCCCCAGATTCATCTCACTCCTCTTACGGGATTCATCTCACTCCTCTTACGGGATTCATCTCACTCCTCTTACGGGAGCGTCTCGCTGGTGTGATCAGGGTGATGAGTCGTGTCCCTATCAATAAGTCCTTGCCCTATTAAGTTTAGACATATAGATAGAAATAGAAAATCTTGTACATGAACTGAAACTATCCCTGCATCCCTCAGCTGTAATCTGGTCCCTGTTTTCTGGGCCATTGTATATTGAATTATAATAGTACAATAATCAAATATAACAGTACATCAGTAACTGTACAACAGCACATCACTTACATCATAGCAGTAGTTATACACCACCTAAGCCTGGTTATTTAATATAGGACCTTTCATAGGTTGATGTGAAAGAGTGCCGAGACATGCAAGATTTTATTGTCATTGTCATCCAGTGGTGTTCTGTAGTGGGATTTTTTAAGTGGGGGTTCGTGATTCGTGACCCTCCAAAACTCATCCACTCAATTTGACATGCTGAAATACACACAGGTGTCATGTAGATTGTTAGTTTATTTAAAATAAATAAATAAATAAAAATAAATCACTTTCAGTACAAACAGAAAGGTGCCAGCCCAGTAAAAATCAGTAATATTTGATGTTTTTTACTCAAAATGATGCAGAATCATGTTATTAACATTAACACTCTTTATATAATCACCTCCAGAATATAAATCACAGACTACAACACATGAACCAGGACTGAACCAGGACTTCAGTCCTGTTTTAGACCTGGTCTAAACCAGGACTGAACCAGGTCTAAACCAGGACTGAACCAGGAGGAATAAACCAGGACTGAACCAGAACTAAACCAGGACTAATCCGGGACTAAACCAGGACTAAACAAAGACTGGACCAGGTCTAAACAAAGACCGAACCAGGAGGAATAAACCAGTAAACGAGGACTAAACCAGGACTGAACCAAGACTAAACTAGGTCTAAACCAGGACTAAACCAGGAGTAAACCAGAACTGAACCAGGACTAAACAAGGACTAAACCAGGATTAGACCAGGACTAATCTTGGACTTGAGAGCAAGAGGGAGAACCCCGAGTCTGTGGAGCAGCGTGTCCGCAAAGCACGATCGGGCGACGGTGACCTGGCTTAGCCCCATGAAGCTTAGATCTCTGCACCGGTCCTTTCTCCTGCGGTCACCCGATGGTCTATGCAGGCTCATCCTGACACTCAGTTCTGGTTTAGTCCTGGTTTAGACCTGATTTAGTCCTGGTTTAATCCTGATTCAGTCCTGGTTCAGTTCTGATGTAGTCCTGGTTTAGACCTGGTTTCGTCTTGAATTAGACCTGGTTCTGGTTCAGTTCTCTATAGGACAGTCCTGCTGATCTTCATGAGCCTATGCAGTTTGTTTTCATCATTGCCAGTAGCTCCACTTTGACATTTAAGTTGTAGCTATCGGGAGAAGTGTGTGGACGGCGTACCCCTGCGTACCACACTCACTACACCCCTGTTGTCATAAAAAACAAACAAACAAACAAAATAAATAAATAAAATAAAATGTTTTGTTCCCTGTGGTTTAGACTGAACTGATAAACACTTGATTTTGTTTATATTGTGACCCAGATTAAAGATCCTACATTACTCCAACTCAACTCTTGTGAGTCACGTTCTAATGCTGTAACCTCCTCAAAAATAGTCCTGGAGTTGTGTTTTATTTCATTCACACATTTGCGTAATCATTTATTATTAGTCTGTCTACATCTCCAAAGATCAAAATGTTCTGTTCCACCTTGTGATGTCATGTGGTTTAAGTGAACAGCTCCTTTTACCTTCGGCAGAGATCTGCATTTCCAGGGCTGAAATCACGTGGGTGAAAGGAACAAAACACAACTCTGGGTATGTTTATGATGAGGAAAGGTTAAAACATAAAATAGAAAAGAGTAAAATGTCCCCTTTAAGTCCAAAGAACACAACGACAGGGTTTTCCCCATATGTTGCTTAGTGTCGGGAATCCCCACCATACAGGTTTGTGACGTATGCACTTGTTCAGTTCTGAGCTGAATATTTAGTAATTATGTGTAACTGCTTCCTTTAATAACACCATTATAATTACACTAAATTACCCTTGTGTTTATTACTTTTTTCCAAAGGTGGTGTTTCATTCACAGAAGAGTCAAATGTTCCACAGTGTGACATTACATTTATTCAGTTACAGGTGGTTTTATAACTAGGGATGGGCATTCGATTCAGTTTTCTTAATCGGTCGTTGGGAGAATTAATGATTGATTATTCATTAATCATGAATGTTTTTATGTTAAAATGATCATCATTATTATTACTATCTGCACTACTAATCTGCATAAATAAACTCAACTTTACAATTTACAATTCAACTTTATAATTCAACTTTATAAACTTTACAATTCAACTTTACAATTCAACTTTATAAACTTTACAGACTTTACTTTATAAACATAAACACTCTAGAGTCACATCAGCTCGTTTGACAGTAGAATGTGTTTAATGCAGCTTTGTGCAAATCTCACAAAAACAAAACTTAAAACCACGTGGTTAATTTGCACAAACTAAATGAAGAAAACTACAGCTCTTGTGTCGCTGATGCGGTTCAGGTTCTGTCGGACTAAAGGACAGGACTCAGTGGAATATAAGTTAGGGTGGCCATATTTGCGTTTGTCAAAACCAGGACAGCGTACGGGGGGTGGGAGGTGGAGCCTCGTCATCGACATTGAGCGACTCTCACCTGGCAAAACTTTTTCATTTTTTTCAGTGTCCTGGTGCTTTGAGGTCCCTGACACTGCGAGTGGACACTGAAACATATGTGCTGCTTTGCACACTGTGCACATGGACTCACACTTGTCTCGATCGGGACGAAAAGCGGGAAATTTCTTGTACAAGTCATCGTTGAATGGCATCTGTGCTTCGGCATGTTGCAGACTGACCGACTGTTTGTGTCTGCTCGCTCAATTTAATGGCCCAGTGAAAGGTCATGAAAACCCAGACATTTCCATGTCTTTATATACATATAAAAAAAAAGGAGGTGAAAAACGGACATGTCCAGGGAAAAACGGGTATTTGGTCTCCCTACATTTGGTTTGTCGATTAAAAATGAACGTAATCAACGAAATTCTCTGATTCTCGAAAATCAATTATCGATTAATCGACTAATCATGCCCATCCCTATTTATAGCCCAAAAGTATCTGGAAAAACAAACATTCTGACTGTGAGTGGGGTCGCCTCTCCACAGATCTGACCTGTGATTTGGTCTGGTTTGGTCTCTGGTTCTGTTTTAGTCTCTACTAAACTAAAAGTTAAAATGTAGCTGTTAACTTGAAAACTACCACTTCATGACATCAC